TTGTTGCTTGAGAAAGAATAATAATTGCTTTAGAGAAATTGCTGTCAGTGTAGGATTGAATGTTAATTTGCTTGAATTATGAGAAGTTGAACATGATTAATTTGGTGAAATCGAAAACCCTAGAATCTTAATCTATTGAATTTTCATCCATTGCTTAGCATTGTTTAATTTATTTAATTGTTTTAGTTTTGCTTTACTTAATTTTATAAACTCTCTTTTCAAGTATTCAAATAAAATTAGGGTTAATATAATTTCGGTAATTAGTAAACAACAATCCTCGTGGGACGATATTCTTATTCACTATTATATTACTTGATTGCGATAGCGTATACTTGCGTTACGATTTTTCACAACACCAATCCCATTAGGAATCATTCGGTACTCATTCCACTAGTCTAGCAAGTTGGAGAACAAATTCATCAATTATGAACCATGGAAGTGCAGCTACAACCACGCATAATTGTTGTCATTATAACTTGCATGCCGTTGTGTGGAAAAATCCACGAGACACGTCGGATGATGACCATGCTCCACGTGTCCCAGCGTTTGCCCCACCACGTTGTCCTCGACGCCCAGGAATGTTTTTTCCTCTCTTGACAACCGCAAGAACCGAATGCACATGAGGTATACTGACGATCCCATTTGCCCGGTCAGATGCTAAGTGCTACGATGGGGTCGGCGGCACAGAGCGTAGGCGCCGAGGGTAAGCCATGAGCAATAGGGCCCACACCCCGAGAAAGGGCCTTGAGGGGACACGTTGGAATCCCAAGATGGCGTCTGGAGTTAGGCAAGGTCAGATGTATATGGAATGATTACAAACCCCCTAAACCGCCTAGAGCAAATCAATCAGCATTACAAAAGATCTGCAGAGCTGTAATAGGGGGCAAATTAGGTGAGTAAACAGTCCCAAGGACACTGGCAGGCTGCGGATTGGACAGCCAAGAGGGTAGCCCACTCGAGTGAGTGGGCCAGAGGGGAACTGCCAAAGGAAAAAGCCCAGGGAAAGCCCACGGTGGGAGAGAAGATGCCTCTGGGCAATAAATAGAAGGAAACCCCTGAGAGAGGGGGTTGGCTCTCCATTTGTGGATGTAATCTGTAAAGAACCAAAGAAGTGAAATATACTACAGTGGATGTAGCTCTTGTTCTATAAGGATAAACCACTATAAAACCTCTGTGTATTTTATTTTGTGCATGAGATATAGTATTCTTATTCAGTAACCTACCTAAAAATACAACCACACTTCCATATTCAGTAAAAATACTAATTCCGAACCGGTAACCAAACAGGATACCGCGGGATAACCTAATACGGCTTTATTGACGAAATTTGACCGTCAACACATATGCATAACTATTACCGTTGAAGTACATTTATGGGCATATAGATGAAAACGAAAGGACCAAAAGAAACAGCAAATAATTATGGTACAACTCGCACACAATAATACATGCACTAATTAATACTTGATACATAGTTTACCGTTAGCGGATAACGTCGCCACAATCTAGTAGCTAATTGGCTCAAACTTGTCAAACCACTTTAGGAATCCAAGGGCGGCGTCCCTCGCCTTCTCCGGCGGGGGCGTGGCCGGGTTCAGCACCTCGTACTCCGCCTTCCACTCTGCGATACACGTGCTGTTTTCTTTTCCTTGGAGAGGAGTGAATGTGAAGGTGACCCTGTACGGATCGTACATACGGCGTAGGTCACCTCCAACCACGCGATAAGTCACTGACCTTCCACTCTCCACCCTCTCTATTTTCTCTGTTGACTCTTTCATGTAGTTGTTTACCTCTGCACATGCAAATTCATGATAAAAATCTTCAAAGAAAATCAAAATACACTCCACCGTCTTTCTACGTACGCACCCGATCAAAAGGAAATCCTAGAGTTCTGTATACATGATCTTTACGTATCTTGTGTCACATGTATACAAAGTTATTTCACGATATATAACAAGATTTACTAGCAAGGAGTGGAGTGTCGATCTACTTGGATTTTTTTATGTAAATGTATTTTTCTTCTTTGGAAAATTTTATTCACTCATTGAGAGATAAAAAAGATGTTATGTAGGAGTTCTAACTGCCGAGATAACTGAAATTTCCTCTCTCTCTCTCTCTGCAGTTTTTGTCCCTTAGCAACCGGTTCAGGTAATCATAGAGGTTGTGTTAGGAGAAGAGAGTTCAATCAGGTAAATAGACTATGTAGACATATTTATGCCCATTTATAAAAAAAGGGTCTGCAGACTTTGCAGAAATCAATGGACGATAAGAAGAAGACGAAGAAGAATACCGGGACCAAGCTTTAAGAGCCTGAGACTTCCAGGGCTGCCATCTCCTTGGATATATTCGGCATGGGCAAGCATCTCAGGTTTGATTTTGCTCATGATTTGATCGTTTCTGTACATTTCCCATGCTTTCTCTGCTGGCAAATTAAGCACCACTTCTCCTTTCAAGCTTCTCATATATATCTCTCTCTCTCTCTCCTTCTATCTCTATCTCTATCTCTCTCTTGTCTCTTATTGTTTGTATTTTGTGACGAGGGTGACGCATTAAATAAGGACATGGGAACCTATCTTCATAAAGGGACTAGTTTAATTAAAGGAAAACCGAATAAAGTCTCACTTTATATTTCATTCTATCTCACACACGTAGATAAGGGCCTAGAGGATTCGTGCCTATAAATTCTTTCATATGCAACAAAAGAAGAGGGGTAATTCAACGGAAGTCGACTATCATTTTCAAAAGCAGATGCTAATCTTCTCATATCTTCATATATTTATGTAAATTTGCTCATAGATTCAATGTTATATTGTAAATAATATGTGAGGATTCCTTTCATTTGCTAATGGAAACTAAAGACTACCCCTCCTTCCATCATAGACCATATAAAATCGACTTGAGATCTCACCCACTAACCAAGTTTACGCCCATTTTATCCAAGCGACGCTTGAAAATCTAACGTTCTAATATCTAGTTAAAAAAATTATAATCAGAGAGATTCAAGTTGTGCCTATTACACGTAAATAAATGAAAAAAAGAAGAAATAGGCTTCATGAAATGGAGTAGAAAAATGCTTAAGATCAGCAGCTAAGTATCATCACTAATAGAAGATGGATCTCATTTTGCAAGATCTACCTTCAATTAGTGGGTGGTGCTCAGTAGCACTGATGCCCTATAGCATTATTTGACGGAATATAGTCTGTCATCGGACAAAATAATTCCTGGAACCAAAAAACACTAAAGAAGACAAGGCTAGGCCAAATATCACAAAAGAAAACAACGCAGTTTCTATATATCATTTCATTTCGTCTTCTTCCCTCTTCTTTTTTTGACAGAAAAGTTGACTCCAATAAAATTTCATAGTTTTTTTTTTATTTAAATAAAGGTGGGAAAGGAATCTGATCCACTGAGAGTGTATTACATTGTCTATTCTATCAAACTATAAACAGTACAAGTTTGTTAAAGAATTCGCTGGTACAACAGATAGAAAAGACACAGACAATAACAGGCCACGAGTGGTTAAAAACACACATAATACATGGCCGGCCAAAAGTACAAGACTACTTTGGCGTACTCATTCAACCTTTTAAACCGTGCTTACTTTGAGGGGAGTCTCACTTTCTCAATAATTTCACAATCTGAAGACCATCTTGAGATCCTAAGCAAGGAGCTGATAGCTTTCCAATCTCGTTCACTCTCTCTAGATTCTGCAGAAAAGCCAGAAAAGAATGGACCACTATATTGAGATGATCTCGGCTACAGCGACACTCATAGAGAATGCTTTGATAAATTGAGTAAAGACCATCGAATAAAACACGAAATGTTTTAGGCACAAGTCAAGAGTAAGCCTTCAACTGTTGTCCATCATAATGCATTCATGTATAAATATTGCTGCTATTGTCGAATTCTTTGAAGAAGTTAGAGCTTTGACCACTAAAGCAAGAATTAGAAAGATAATACTGGCAATTACCAGAATGGAAAATGAAGCTGAGCTTATGCATCGGAGCTCTGTGTTTGATTTAGCTCCGCACTCAGCATGTGGTGGAGAAGCGCATCAACTCTTTGGCTCCTAGACTTAGAGCTGCAGAAAACCAAATTAGTGAGTCTAGACTATTTTTAAGGCTTGACCTCTTGAATAAATAAGAGCAAAAGATTTTAGAAGTGATAACTTTATACCAATACGTACCCAACAGATCGGCGTCCTGCTACTGATTCCTATTTAAGGAGGAGGATAAAAATATAATTAAAAACTGGTGACAAGTTCATTATCTAATAAACACATGGGAAACGGAAAAGAATTTGAATATCTTTTCAGATATCGGCATGGCAACGCAACATTTGTTATTAGCTCAAACAAGGAACAACTCCAAACCTTGTCCCGCTCTTCACCTCTTTCGGATGATTCAAGATCCAGTTCAGCAAAGAAAGCCTCCAAGACAAATGCAATAACCTAAATTGTACGGAAAAAGAAAGTTATTGGTTAATTTTTCCATAGGCTTTTAGAAGGCAAAGCAAGAGAGATGCATTAAAAAAAAGAAAAAAGAAAAAGAAAAGAAAAGCAAATTGCTTGTGCTAATCACAAGGGCTACGCATCAAGCCTTATTTTCAAGTTAAGAATTCCCAACACTGGCAATAGAAAACCACTTCCGATAATTACACTTGAACTCACAACATACAAAACACTGATGAAAATAATGGAGCAGCAGAATGTAGCTTACAGAAAAAAAGAAAAAGAAAAGCAAACCGCTTGTGCTAATCACAAGGGCTACGCATCAAGCCTTATTTTCAAGTTAAGAATTCCCAACACTGGCAATAGAAAACCACTTTTGATAATTACACTTGAACTCACAACATACAAAACACTGATGAAAATAATGGAGCAGCAGAATGTAGCTTACTAAATTCAATAGCAGCAACACAGTTAGTAGATAAAAACTGATGAAGTACACAAGTGTCCAAGAAGTGCCCGTCAAATCCTTGTAACTCTGAAATGACAAACCAAAACAGTGACATTTAAAAAATTATCTATTATTTCACAGAGCAAAATTGAGGAAAAACATGGGCAACAATTTAGTAAAATACTGTTGCAGTCTGAAATCAGTTGCAAGTACAATAGTTGTTCAAAGAAGGCAATACTAGCTAAACTCACAATTGAACACAGAGAAAGATATAAATAAATGTACAAGGATATGTGATATGTGTGTGTGTGTGTGTGTGTGTCACAATTGGTCAGAATTCTTCGAATTTTTCATTCATTGTGTCCCAATGCAGGTTGGGCTGGTTGGGCTGTATGGGGCAGGTCCCAGACGACTTATATGTTTGCATTGCACTCCAAGGAACCTCACGACGACTAAAACAGGCAATATTAGAACGATGCTACTAATTTAATTAAAATATAGATGAAAAAAAAGAGACAAAAGTGTCTTCCTTGCTAGCAACGAATAAAGATGACTGTACTCAATAAACACTGACCAGAATTTAGTAACTTGTGACATGAGAATTTACCTGCATCCACACTTGCCAATTTCCCATGACTAGCAAATTGAAGAGTGTCACCATACCATTTGGGTAATCATTGAAGTTGAAGAGTAAATAACTGCTTTTGTCAAGAAAATCCAATTAATTTAATATTAAAACTGCAATGAAACCTGTTGAGGAGCATTAACAAACTAAAAGAGATCTAGAGTGAAAAAATTCCAAACCATATATAGGTATGTGACTGATATAGGCACTGGCCCATAAGCCCATTATCTTTAAATTTGATACTCACTATCCTATTATTTTTGTATCTTTTGTCTTTCTGGTTGGAAAGGACAGCTACAATATTGACGCAAAAAGATGATATTACTCGGTTAGTTTTTCCAGTGGACAAAGGATACTCATCGTCAGCAAGATCTGTTGCTTCCAACTTGGGATTCCCAGCATTAACCATTCCTCCAAAGATCTTCCAAAAGAGAGTAATATAATTAGATGATGCTGTAACTGTAGCACCAAGAGCCAATAGGTAAAGAGAGCAGTAGATTTTACCTGCACACCAAGAGAGCAATAGATACACAGGACGCAGAATATTATCCCTAGATATGGCATCAAACTCGGTATGAGGGTTAAGAATGTTGCTATGAAGGCTCTGTAACGCTGGACGTACATCAGCAGCCTTATCAATCGCAACAGTCTTGCAAGAAGAAGGTATCGAATCCTGTTAAGGAAGTAAAAGAAATGAGAGCAGACGAAAAGAAGAGGAAAAACAAAATTAGTTCAAAATATATAACCTAAATGTAGGTGCTTGGAAGCTGATTACACTAAAATATGAGGCTAACTTCTAAAAGGTTCTAGACATGACAAGTACCACAGATTAGTCATGAAAAAAGTTTACCCTCGAGGATTCTTCCACATGACAAAGAAACGAGAAGAAAACCATGCAGAAAAATTACTATTGACGGTGATGCATAATTAGGAAAACTCATTGAGGAAAATGACGACCAATATGCTTTGGAAAGGTAAAGAAACTCAACGGCAGGAACAAAAGTACAACTGTTTCATACCATTCTCCATTTGAAAGAAAAGACCCTTGAGGGGATGCAAAAGTTATAGTTTCTCCAATAACTGCAAATGAAATAATTCTGTTAATACAGTATAACTAAAATGCAAGCAAATGTATCTCTGCAAGAAATGAAAGGGGGAAAGAAAGGGTAAAAAGAAAAAAACTAACGCATGCACAGATGCAACAGTAACAAACACAACCTTTTATATGAAGTCCAAATGGGGAACGAAAATACTATAACGTAAAGAAAATGATACCAAACGTGTACGTTCAAGTCTGTTCAGGTTAGTTTGAGATACTTTATCCACAAAAGAATTGGGGTACTTTATGTCATAAAATGGGAACTGTTGGGAAAGAATTTTCAGTATTTTTCCACTGCATGAAATATTGCTTCCTTTGTTTTCTGATTTTCTTTTGTTTGTTTCTGATTATTAATTGTTTCCTCTACCTTTTTTTTCTCATCATTCTCAATTCGGATCGTCTTTGCTGTAGTTACTTACCTATAATCCATGTGATAAGAAAATCAAATTGATTCTGGCCATCTCTCCAATAGTTCTCAAATCCATATGCATATAATTTAAGAGCCATCTCCAGTACATATATCCATCCTGCATAACAGAAAGCAAATCACCAACGAGAGTACAAATATTGTAAAATTAACTAAACAAACAAAAAGAAAGGAGGTTAGGAGATGAAACGGATTGTCTTAATATTTTACAGTTAAGGTTTTAGTTTAGACATTTCTAGTAGTACTTTCTGTTTCCCATAAATACATCGTAAGAAGCCTGGGATGAAAGAGAATTTTAATCAAAAGCCAAGAACCAATTTCTCGTCCTTCATTTTTCACCATGAAACATTTAAATAGCTATAGAACCATTGGTTTGCGAACAGTTAGATGTAACCACATTTCCTGAGTCTTAGTCCGGCTTAAAAGTGAAGACTAACTAAACACGTCCTTTAACCAA